TGAGGGGAAGCTTTGGGGTGGAGGGGTGCTGTGGGGTAAGACTGTAGAGCCTTGGTGTGGGAAGGAGTGGGTAGGGCTCACTGGGGCACCCTGTCCCCCTGCCCAGGCTGCGGAGACACCAGGCAGGCATGGTCGGCTATGACCCTGAGGCCAAGTGCGTCTCCGCAGTGGAAGCGGCTGCAGCAGGATCAGCATCTGGCTTGGTCACTCGGGTCCTTGTCAGCCCCTTGGATGTCATTAAGATCCGCTTTCAGGTACCTTCCTCATGGCATGCTCGGGGACAGGGAGTGAAAGAGCCTGTTACAGAGCAGAGCTGATCTTGGCCTGGATGAGCAGGTCACTTGTGCAACCAGAGAGCATTAAATCTGCTCGTCAGTCCTCACCTATATCTTATACAGGTTATGCAAGGTAGTAGGGCTATCTTGTGTCCACCGCTTCTGTTTATGTAACTTAACTTGAGTATTTGAATGGGATCTTGTGTTTTTCATAGTTTATTCTTTCTGTTTTTGTGAATGATCTCTGCTATGTAACTGAATTTCACCATCATCCCTACTGATTCCCTTTGTGTTACATGCATGTTTTTATTCTTTTAGAGCCCTACATAAATAACATCCTAGTCAGTTCTAGATGTGATTCTGTGGGAAGGCATAGTGTCATCTCTTAGCATTGGTTGGCTGTTAGGGTTGTGAATTCCTGAATTGGACACTTCAACCTTGTTGAAATGCAACGTGGAATTGAAAATATTTTCTCTCTTTTCCTCCAGCTTCAGATCGAGCAGCTCTCCTCAAGAAACCCAGGGGCTAAGTATCATGGCATCTTGCAAGCTGTACAGCGCATCTTCCAGGAAGAGGGGTTGGTAGCCTTCTGGAAGGGCCATGTTCCTGCTCAGTTCCTTTCAGTTGGCTACGGAGCTGTTCAGGTAAGGTGATCAGACATCAACCAGGCCCAGTGTACATACATAGGACTCTGCTTTGCTCCTCTTCAGACTGGCTGCATGGGCAGATGCAGAAAGGTGCAGGTTTAAACTGCACTGATGCAAGCCAGCTCCAGTCTCAAAGATGTGTAGTTGTATAATGCTGTATAATGCTGATGTATAATTCCTAAGTTAATATTCCTGAGCTTGCTGAACGGCCTGTCTGGCCAGCCTGTAGTACAGCTAGAGCAAACTGAGTTCTGGCTGTATCTGGTGTCGCAGACAAGCGCTGTTTGTTCCTGACACTTGGCTTAGCTGTTCATGTTCCAAGTCTGTGTAGTTTTTTGCTTTGGTTCACGCTGTCGCCCTAACAGCTTGTTAGTAAAAAAATCAATGAAGCTGATGATGGTGTTTTACACAGCATTGTTATGCTTAATTTGTAAATATTAACAACGTGTTTTATGAGCAGCGGTTGAAAGAATAATGGGCAGCATGCCTGTAATATAGCAAATACTCTTCAGGATACATAGAGCATTAAAATGAGTTTTTCACAATTCTAAATGCAAGATTTAGCAGAAGTGTCAGAGATCAGAATATCCCAAGCATTCCCCGGGCTGCTCAGTGATTTTTACAGAGTATTCTTTGAGCACATGCTCCAACAGGTTGCAAGTTGGGGAGGACATTTCAAGGACAGAGAGAGAAGGTGGTTACAAGCGGTGGGTGGAGCTCTTTGGTGAAATGAGAGAGGAGTGGGAGATCCATGTCGGTGATAAGGATTGACTCCTTGACCTGTGTATTGTTTGTTTCTTTAAGTTCATGGCGTTTGAAAGCTTGACAAAACTGGTGCACAACGTCACCTCATACAATGCCCGCGATTCCTTTGTGCACTTCGTCTGCGGTGGACTGGCTGGCAACCTGTTGACACACTACGCACCCGCTTTGCTGCTCAGGGTGAGCCTAAGGTATGGCTGAGGATTAATGCTTGGAATTATTGCTAGCGGTAGCAATATTTCATGTGTATGAATACAGGAGGTTTGAAAAGTACATAACAGTCTGTGGGTTAGCATAAAGGAACAGGTGCTGTTATTGGGCAATGTTTGCACTGTTGCCAAGTTATCCTCTGTGCTGTTGACACAGCTTTCTTAATTATGTTTTGCTGCTCCTGATTGTGTTTGACTCCTGACAGGTGATCCAGAAAGGAGAAACTGTCCTTAACAGGATAACTCAATTTTCATTTCGGCTGGTGGCCATTTATAGAATACACTCCCCAATCTGTCAAACGTTGCGTGTTTGAAACTTTCCACTTGCACAGAGTGATGTTTAGATAATGGTGGGGATGATACTTGAAACCAGTCACCTTTCACCTGTGTTTCATGTTCTTACTTATGCAAGAATTGGTCTCCATGCTAATTAGGTCTGTAATATCTAGACTCATATGGGTTTTTATCCGAGCCGTTTCTGTTTTTTGACTTAGCCTGCAGTAGAATCACAATATATATTACATGAATTCTGTTGCAGGAGCAAGCAGAGCTGTTAAGAGAAAGATAATCGTGTCTGTGATGGAAGTGGTCTCAGGCCACAGCTCTCAGCTCTGTGTCTTGTTTCTTCCTCTCAGGAGCACAGCTTGGATGTGAGATACAATGTCAGCCCAGGCCTTTCAGTGCAGAGCTAATGATCGTTCGTTCAGTTAATCTCTTGTGGCTCAGAGGTAGATTTAGGTTGTCAGCTTACTTAGAAGAGTCACGAGGGCTTAGCTGAGAATACTGTGTGAAGATGTGCAAAATCACTTTATTTGTTGCTTTGTGCTGAAAATCAGTCAATTGTATTTTGGGCAGCGGGAAATTCCTATCCTCATTACTGGGAAATAACCTGACCTTTGGTTTGCTGTTCTTAAGCCTGTTTCACTGGAGAGTCAGCCTCTTCTTTACTGTCTAGCTCTATCGCAGCCTTCGCCATGCAGTGGTGACCATATACCAGACAGAAGGGCCTCGGACTTTCTATAGAGGTTTGACCCCCACAATCATTGCTATCTTTCCGTATGCTGGTCTCCAGTTCTCCTTCTACAACATCCTGCAACAGTTTTCTGAATGGGTGATTCCAGCTGAAGGAAAGAAAGGAGGTAGGCACTTGGGAGGGTGACGTCTGCGATCTGGAGAGAAAGAGAGGATGAATGCTAGTTTGGGAGACTGACATAAGCTCAGTTTTCTGTCCTATCACCCTTTTTGATGCAACATCTGAAAAGTATCTCAGTTTTCCATATCTCATTCTTACCCTTGCACAGATATTGCCAAAGTAGAATCATAGAAATCATCAGGCAGTGTCAACTTGTAACTTATTCCAATCCAGAATAAGTCAGTATGAGCAATCAGGAGTGCAAGATTTCCAGTGACTGAGCTTTTACTGGGGGGCATGACAACTTTTCCATCCACTAGTAGCAGGTTCTCTGGTGACTGGAGTTTTTTTGTGCAATGCCACTTGGCAGAGCAAAAGCATAAATCAGTGTAATGAACCAAGGTTAGCTGTAATGCTCTGACTCCAACAGACATTGTGAGCCTGATGTAGAAAATACGGATTGAGGTTCTGCGGCCCAAACTATGCAGAAGAGGTGATGTAACTTTAAAGGGCCTTTTTGGCCTTACTTCTTGTGAAAAGTGCTTTAAACTTACCTCTCGTGCTCTTTAATCAGAACTCCCTGCTGATCTTTTTTCCTTCCCTGCTATCCTCTCCCCTTTCTGCTTTTCAGGCAATGTTAAAAACCTTGTTTGTGGCAGCTGTGCCGGAATCATCAGCAAAACCCTCACTTACCCTTTTGACCTGTTCAAAAAAAGACTGCAAGTGGGTGGCTTTGAGCATGCCCGGGCAGCGTTTGGGCAGGTGAGAAATGTTTTAATTGACTAATTTTCATAAGGGTGGATTTGCATCAAGACAATCCAGAGCCAGTCATCACCAGAATGCAGTGATGATTCACCACTGGCACCTGTTGTGTTCATATTCAGGTTGGGAGCTCCCAGGGAGTTTCTGGACGCTGAGCATTGGTCTCACTTAATAATGGGAATAGCTGTATGAATAAACTGGGTTCATTTTATGACATTGTCCAACATACCTCTGCTCTGCCTTCTCATCCATTTCCATCAAGTTGGCTGTCTCAGAGCTGGGGATGAGTTAGGCAGGCAAAGGGGTTTCGATTTACTTTACTTTTCTAGTTGCAGCTTGGTATTTGTGATTCAGGACCACATTACTAGCAGAGGATGACACTAGCTTTATGTTGGGATTGCCTATCTGTCAGGATCCTTTTCTGCAGTTAATATTTTGATACAAGGAATGGGCACCAAGTGTTTGGCATGTGTCTTATGTACAGAACATCCTGAAATTCAAAGCAAATTAAATACTTCTGGTGTTCTTTAGCACCATCCTTACCACCTTGAAGTACACTGTAAGACAAATACAGAACTTCCAAGGAACGATCTCTTTTTTTTCCATGAAATGTGGAAATCTTCTTTTTTCCTTCAAATTCCTTGGATCTGAGAAGCAAATCACTCTGTACCTCAAAAAACTCTGGGATAGGAAAGTGAAGTCTTAACCTATTGCATTGGATGCTTTTCTTCTTCCAGTGAGGTACAGAATTTGTTCTTAGCATTGATGTGTCACAAGATGTTAAACCTTCGCAATGCGACACCATGACATGCAGATAGCTAATTTAGAGACTTCTAAGTGCTGTAGCTGTGTTTTCTTTCTGTCAGAAAAATGAAAAGTTGTTCCTCCTTAGAGAGTGAAGGGGATGGAAAACAGTAGCAGCACAATCTGAAATAATTACTTCCCAAACTTGTACCATAAATAATACATGCTGTTGTAGCATAAAGATTTTACGGCCATTCAATCTGCATAAGCTATTGCTGTTGCAAAATATGTACTTTTCCTCTACCCCACCCTCTACAAACTGGCTCTCTGAAACTTTCAGTTAGTTATAATAATAGCCAGAAAGGCATCTCCAGGCTGCACGTCTAGATTATGTTTCTGTGGTATAGTTTGGGGAACTCTGTGTTCTTTTCCAGGTAAGTTGTCCTGGAGTTTTCTTGTTTAACCTCTTCGCCATTTCTCTCTCAGGTACGGATGTATAGGGGTCTCCTGGACTGCATAAGGCAGATTATGCGAGAGGAGGGCCCGGGTGGATTCTTTAAGGGCCTTTCGCCCAGCTTGCTGAAGGCTGCTGTCTCTACTGGCCTTGTCTTCTTTTGGTATGAGCTGTTCTGCAGCCTCCTGTGTGCCCTGAAGAACACCGACAGCACTGCAAGGAAGGCAGGCTGAAAGAGGCATGTATATGATTACCTGGTGTTCTCTGGGAGGAGGGGAAACTGATGGCTTTGCTCTGTCATGAGCATGTTGGAAATGTCAGAGGTCCCAGAGCTCTACCAGCCTGTAGGAAATCACCTCCTGGGACCAAGCAGAAGGAGAAGGCAACTGCAGTTCTGCTGAAGACACTGAACTGCTTTGCTGGAAGCTGTTCAACTGAGCACTTTTTTACTCTGTCTCCTCTAATATCAGCACACGTTTAGTGTGGGGAGAGGGGAACCAATGGACAACTAGCTAGCAGAGACTGTGCTCTGAAAAGACACCTGATAAAGTGGGTGAATTCCTGTGCTTGCCCTGGATCACAGAGAGGGGTCCTGGCCTACCTAGTCCTGCTTAACCAATGGAACATCACATCCTGTCACTGCATCCGCACAGTTTTATTTCCTTGCTCTACGGCCTGCTGTTTGCACCATATTCTTTTCTCCGTGTTGCACAGGTAGCTCTGTTCTGCTGTTGTGAAGTCAGTTAAAACCGCTTTAGTGTGCACAGGACCTCCGGTTTCCTTTTCTTTGCTGCCAGCTGCTACTTCTTGATTACCACTTGCTGGCTGTGCATTCTCAGCCACCTTAAACACAGAATCTTCTTGCTGACCCAAACTTGCTCTTCCTTTAACTCTGGGGAGCTTGATTGTATCCTAAGTGCCCATTTCTCTTCCTGCGTGTCTTGCCATACATCTCCTAGGGTTTTGCATTGCCTCAGTCACGCTTTTTACAAGTAGACCTGCAGATTAAGAACCCTGCTCTAAGGGGATTCAACACACAAGCCCAATTCTTACTTCAGGGTTCTTTGCTTCAGTGCAGTGAGTAAACAAATGCTGTATAGAGTTTTAGAAATATTTAGTCTAAGTTGGAATAATGAAAGAAAAGTCCTGTGGAAACTAGTAAATGTCTTTTTTTTTTTTTTTTTCTTCTCCTCCAATACCACCTTTGAATGTTTCCAGCAAGTATTTCTGTAGTGGCCTCAAAACATTTCTGAACCTCAGTCCTACAGTGGTGCTGACAGATGAAAATGTTTTGACAAGATCAGCTGAAGTGAGAGGACTGAACATCAAATCGGAATTGGTTGGCTTAGCATGGTGTTTGACAAGAAAAAGATGATTGAATTAGAGCTGGAGAAGGGTTTTTCTGGCGTTTCAAAGGTTTTATGAATGGTTAAAAAAAAAAACAAAACAACCAACCAACAACTCTGATTTACGTAACAGGGGAAAAGAGGAAAATTACTTTCTTCCTTTTCTATTCTCTGTTTTTTCAAGCTGAGCAGGGTGTGGTTGGACCAGTGTGTGGAAGGCAGACTTCCGAGGAAGAGCCGCTGTGATACAAAAGCATGTTAGTCATCTGGCGAGTGGCGGATAGGGCAGAGCACTGCAGTTATTTAGAGGATGGTTTAATGGTTCTTCTCTTAACGCAGAGCTTTTCGTGGGTCTTTTGCAATATTCAGGGTGTTGATCCCAAATGGCCTGGCCAAATTCCAGCATGATCAATTCCATTCTGTTGATGCAACTTCTCCTGATGATTTTGAGCATATCAGCATTGCTCACTTATTCTGAACTGTTGTGAGAGGCTGTTTTTAAAGAGCAGCTGTTTCACTGGTGGCTGAGATATCTAGAGAGATTCCTTGCAAGCCCAAGCCAAATAAGTTCGTGTCTGCTGTGGTTTTGAGATCTTGGAGTGCAAAGCAGCTGTTTCACTGCAGGTGACTTTGAGAGCTACGTAAAATTAAATTCACTAAGTAGCGTCAGTGTCAGGCAGGAGGCTAATATGTGAGCCTCAAAGAGGGAGTGTTAGCTGCCTGTACTCTAAAAATGTGCAGTTTTGCTTAGAGGAGAAAATGCAAAGAATGTGGAGTAAAGTTTCTCAAAGTGCCTCAACCCTATTGGCGTTTTCCTGTGTTATTTAGGCTCTTCTGAGATTCCCCCAAAATCTTCTTAAAGATATTTTGCCTTTGTTTATTGTTCATCTGTTGTTCTTGGAAAGACATCATAACCAGTAATGAACTTAACCTCATGGCATCCTTCTGAGGGAGAAAAATACCTCATTTCAAAACAGGCACAAACAGGTTGGGGTTGTTACTGTCTTTTGGCTGCTGGTAGAGAGGAATGCTGTCATGGTTAGCAAGGACAGGACTGGCCACAGTAGGAAATTTTCTGTGCTGACCTAGTCTTCCATTGGAAATCGGGACTCATCCATCCTGTCTAAACATTACAAGACTCTTGTTTTCTACTTTATGTCAAAGAGCTGCTGTTAAACTGCACAGAATAGAGGGAAAATGGTTAGGAACTAGGCAGTGGGAATTGCAATCTCTGAAACAGGGAGTGAGTTGCTTTGGTTGCTACAGGGGCAAAGAATAAAGAACAGAAAACTCTGCTCTGCTAAGATGATATTCAAGTGTGCTGTGGAGCTTGAGGTGATGCAGGCAAACAGCTTTAGGGGCATGCAACTTGGCTGTTCCACAGAGAGGGCAGCAATGGAAAGTATAGAGCCGCTTTTCTTCTCTGGGATACTTTTTTCCTCCACTCTGCATTAAATGAGCTTGCCTCCATCCAACAGATGGCAAAGTCAGAGTTCAAGTTATTGTGCCAGTCTGGCCCAGGCTGTGGAAGAGGCACTCCCTGGTCGGAGCGCTTTGGCACGCAACCTGGTTTATATATCCCTTTGGGCTGTTAGTCATAAATGTTATAGGCCCATAAAAGCAGCTGATCTTCTAGTGAGTGAAGGAGAAAGAAGTGACAACCCCAACTATACAATATTAGAAGTTGCACCTAAGAGTCGCTTCATCACTCGCTTCTGGTCAGCAGCATCTATCTGTCATAAATTTCTGACGTGCACTTTGCTAACTGGGAGTCGCTGCTGGGGAAAGGACTGTAACAGGAATATTATTTTCTCTTTGGGACTGAGACTAGTTTAGTGCAAAGCACTAGGAGAACAGGTCTTGTTTCTGATGCTGCTCTTGCAAAACACATGCCATTTGAAGCTAAATTTCCTAGAATTAGAGGAGATGGGAGAGATCTGTAGTCACCTTGTTCTCCCATATGCTGGAACAGATTTGCTCTCGGAAACTGCGCGCAGCAGTTCACATTCAAGTGACTCAACGCGGTGACAGACTCATGAGGCTGCGCTGGAGTTTGTCCATTGGGATGGCTGGGATTTCACTCTGATGTAATCCTATCAGCAGGGATTTGCGTTGCCTGAAATTCACCTCACAAGCTGCTCAGCAATTGCGTTTGTTTTCTTCTAGTGCCTTTTACCATCAGAATGTCCAAAAGCACTTTAGCAGGCAAAGTGTTCAAGACAAGTTGCGCTGTGGCTGTTAGGGGATCCACCATCACTCTTAGCTGGCCTTGAACAGGAGAACATTGACGCACAAGTTCTGTGATGAACACACTGTTTCCTGCAGCGCCAGCTGGCTCGCCGAGTTCCTAGGACAGTCCTATTCTCAGGATGCTCATCCAGAGCTGCAGAGCATCATTTTTTAAAAGAAATGAATGTTTTAGAGTTGGGCTTGGAACAGATTGTATTTAATTTGGGTTTAAGTTTCTCTTGTGATGTAGAACTGTAATTCTCTGCGGCATTTTGCTGTGTTGCCTGAGTGGATCTTTTGCAGCTGCTGTTGTCTGAAAGCATCTGAGCAGAATGCACACAACGTGTGCCTACCTTTGAGAAAAGGTACATTAAATATTTTGTTATGCTCATGTCTGGCTGCAGTTTGTTTACTCCTTTCCTCCTAGTCCGTACGCTCAGCTGGACCCCGCAGGGCCGCCGTGGCCCTCCTGCTGCCCAAAAGGGAGGATAATCCAGAGTGTGGGGCAGCAGGAGCCATCTGGTTTTCCCTTCCCATCACTGGCTCCTGGGTGCTCCTCAGCAGCAGGCAGAACCATCCCATCCCCTCTGCAATATGGGGTGATGCTTTGGGTATCGCTGTTGAGAACCACACCAAGGGGGATCAGCCGAGGAGGTTTGTGCTGCCCGGTCCCACCGCTGTGCCCGAGAGGGACTGTCAGAGCCATGGAGGCTGGTACTGAGCCACGCACCCATGGTGGATGAGTTCAGGCTTTGTTTGTATCTAGCCAGGCCACGCAGTGCCGTAGAAGATGTTCCCAAACTGCTCATTCTGCGTTTCCTGAGGCTGTTCTCTGGTTTCAGCAGCCTGGCTGCTCTAGCGTCCTCTAAGTGTTGCGAAGATTTCAACCCCTGAGTGGTCTTCCCCTGTGGAATGGTTGGGAGTTCAGAGAAAAAACGTGAAGTATGTATACGTCACTCAGCTCTTGTTGCAGTGATTTGGCTTAGTGCATGTCCCCTTTCCTGACTTTCTTCTACCGCTTGTTTTATGCCACGCTGCTGCAGCCTGCCCTGGCCTGGAGGAGAGGGCGTATTAAACGCGGTTTTCACCCGGAGGGCGGCACCGCGGTGCAGCTCTCGCCGGGAGAGCCCGGCCGGTGCTCGGCGGGGGAGGCCCGAGGGG